CAGCCACGGCCGGCCCCTGTGCCGCCGCCCACCCTGTGTCTGCACCCGGCCTGTCTGTCTCCTTTGCCCAGCCTTCCCCGCTATGGGGGCCCAGACTCTTGTTGTAGGGACCCCAGCCCTGAGCCTGCTGTGTCTAGATCTGAGCACTGCTTCCTGGGGTTGTGTGGGGAGATGGGCTCTTCCTGTGGCCAAGGGACGATGCGTGCCACCCTGTGAGTTTAGAGCTTTTCTCAGCTGCTGTGTAGGCAGGCGGGGGCCTGGGAGCCACCATCCTCCAAAGGTGTGTGCCAGAGGCCCCCCAGGGGGCACCCTTGGTCTCAAGCAGTGCCAGGGAGAGTGCCCCGTGCATTTCCAGCCTGGATTCACAGGCAGCATGGCCCAGGCAGGCGTGGTCTGTTCACACTCGGTTTAGTGGACAGCTCCGAGGCCTTTGTGCTGGGAGCGCCAGGCAGCCAGCAATGAGGTGGGGTTACCATGCAGCTCATGTGTGAGGCCTCATGTGTGAGGGTGCCATGCCTTCCTGGGATGGGGGCTGGTCCAGGCCGGGTGGGCTCAGGGTTGGGGGCCAGGGGACACCCCACCTTGGGTCTCCATGCTAACCCAGCCCCCTGTCTGTCAGCACTCGAGGCTGCCCCCAGACAGCCGTCCCCTCCTTGTGTTCGTGAACCCCAAGAGTGGAGGTCTCAAGGGCCGAGACCTGCTCTGCAGCTTCCGGAAGCTGCTGAACCCCCACCAGGTCTTTGATCTGACCAACGGGGGTCCTCTTCCCGGGTGAGTCCAGAGGGACTCCTGGCACAGGGCAGCAGTGGGGGCAGGAAGGGCCCCAGGAGGGTACCACAGCTGTCTCGGCTGGCGGGAGCTCCACTGGGATCCCACACTGGGGCCTGGAAGTACCCCACGTGGCCAGGAAGGGCATCTGAAAAGGAAGGGGCAGCCTGGGTGAGGGTGGGCTGCCCCGCGGCTGCTGGAGGACACTTCCTGTCTCTCTAGGCTCCACGTGTTCTCCCAGGTGCCCTGCTTCCGGGTGCTGGTGTGCGGTGGCGATGGCACCGTGGGCTGGGTGCTCAGCGCCCTGGAGGAGACACGGCACCGACTGGCCTGCCCGGAGCCTTCTGTGGCCATCCTGCCCCTGGGCACAGGTGGGGTCAGCTGTGCACAGAGGAGAGGTCTCAGGGTCTATCCCTTCCTGCCCCAGCTTTCACTGAGGCCTGGGCTAGTGTCTGTCCCCATAGTGGGGTCTGCGCCCTGCTGATGGGTGGCAGGTGTGGACAGCCGCTATGCATCTGTGTCCCAGGTAATGACCTTGGCCGAGTCCTCCGCTGGGGGGCGGGCTACAGCGGTGAGGACCCCTTCTCCGTGCTGCTGTCTGTGGACGAGGCTGATGCTGTGCTCATGGACCGCTGGACCATCCTGCTGGATGCACATGACGCTGGCAGTGCAGAGAATGGCACGGCAGACGCAGAGCCCCCCAAGGTACAGGGCGGCCTGGCGTGGGGTGTTCTTCAGGCTCCTGCATGTGACATCCCCACACGTCACACTGGGCATCCTCCCAGCCACACACTGGTGTACGTACCCACAGCTGAGGGAGGCACAGCGGGCTGCCACTGGGGATTGTGGCCAGCGAGCTGGCGATATAGCCTGCCCAGGGCCCGGCACGCTGCCCTCCCGGCTGCTGAGCTTGTTGCTGGGGCGGCGCTTGCCCTGTCTCTGCCTGCCGGCTGGAGGCAAAGAACGAGACTAGCTGTTGGGGAGCTCAGGGAGCCTGACGAGGGCTTCCGGGTCCTGGGAGATGAACGCCTGTCCCCAGATCGTGCAGATGAGTAATTACTGTGGCATTGGCATTGACGCGGAGCTGAGCCTGGACTTCCACCAGGCACGGGAAGAGGAGCCTGGCAAGTTCACAAGCAGGTACTGGAGCTGCAGAGGCCGCCCCCTGGTTCCCTTAGGTTCCCCAGCAGGTGCCAGAATCTCAGGTCACCACCTGGGAGGGTGTTCACCCACAGGTTCCCCAGCAGGGACAGGCAGAGGGGCCAGAACCCGGAGGCTGTCTCAGGAGGGTGGGGCCTCCTGGTGATGGGCGGCGTGTCCCCTGCCGCAGGCTGCACAACAAGGGTGTGTACGTGCGGGTGGGGCTGCAGAAGATCAGCCACTCTCGGGGCCTGCACAAGGAGATCCGGCTGCAGGTGGAGCAGCAGGAGGTGGAGCTGCCCAGCATCGAGGGCCTCATCTTCATCAACATCCCCAGGTGCCCCCGGGGGGCTCTCGAGAGGCTCTGCCCAGCGGGGCCGTGGGCGGGTGCAGCCCTTGTCCGGCCTGCGCTGACACCTCTGTGCCCACTCTCTTACGTGGCAGTTGGGGCTCAGGGGCCGACTTGTGGGGCTCCGACAATGATGCCAGGTTTGAGAAGCCACGCATGGACGACGGGCTGCTGGAGGTGGTGGGTGTGACAGGCGTTGTGCACATGGTGAGCTGCTGGCCAGGCAGGTGGGCAGGCCCGGGGCAGTGTCGCTGGTCCCCACTGAGCCCAGCTGGCCTCTCCTGCCCCAGGGCCAGGTCCAGGGTGGGCTGCGCTCCGGAATCCGGATCGCCCAGGGTTCCTACTTCAGAGTCACGCTCCTCAAGGCCACCCCAGTGCAGGTGGACGGGGAGCCCTGGATCCAGGCCCCTGGGCACATGATCATCTCAGCTGCTGGCCCTAAGGTACATGGGGTGAGGCTGGAGAGCCAGGGGAGGTGGGCTAGGCCAGGTAGGCTGTGGGAGTGGCTGGTGGTGCCCAGAGGGTGCAGCATGGTCTGCTGCCCCTGGCCAGGGTCTTCCTTGGTTCCAGGAGGGTGCCTGCCTCAGGAGAGCTGTGCCGGTGGTCAGGGCCACAGATGGCGCAGGGAGCAGCCAGGCAGGTCCTTCCCCTTCCGTGAAATGAAAGATGGCTTCGGCTGCCCGGTCTCAGGACTGGGGGCTGCCAGTGCACCGTTCCTCCATTGGCCACATCACCCTGGCCCTCTGCCCTCTGTCCCACGACAGGTCCACATGCTGAGGAAGGCCAAGCAGAAGCCGAGGAGAGCCGGGACCACCAGGGATGCCCGGGTGGACGCCGCGCCTGCCCCTGAGGGCGATCCTAGGTAGGGGTGGCCAGGCAGGCCGGGGCTTGTGCGGTCTCTGCCCCACTGGCTTGTTTTCAGGTGGTCTGGAGGCAGCTGTGTCCACACAGTGGCCAGCCCCGTGGTCCGGCCTGGCTTCAACCCTGACTGCAGCACCTTCCTAGGCCTGGAGTGGGACCAGCCCTCACCCCATTGGTGCCACACATGGGTGTCACCACCTTCATCCCACTGGAGACTGCTGTGCGGGTGGCAGTGTGTCCCCATGTCCTGGGTGGGCACAGGCTCTGGCTGGCAAGCCCTCTGCCCTGTGGGGGCCCAATCCTCTCCTGGAGGGTGACCACCCACCTCTCCATACCTCTGCCCACTGAGCCCCTTGAGCTGGACAGTGCTGGGCGCAGGCTGTCCAGGTGGGTCTGACCTTGCTTTGTGCCCCTCAGGCTGTGCCCCTGGCTTGTCCTTCACAGCAGCAGGCTCCCTGGAATGTCCCTGTCCCAGCACACACGCCGCCAGCCCCTCTAGCCTCACTTCCCTACCCCAGGCAATCCCTGGCAGGCAGCATATTTTAGGCTGCCTGGTGGTGGTGGTGACTGGTGACTTCCTTGTGTCTTGGGGGAAGGGAGAAGGTGCCTTTTGTTTTCTGGCCTTGTCATATAGATGGCCGCTTGGACCCCAAGTGCAGCCGCAGGGGTAGGCAGTGTCTGGCTGGGCCTCGCTGCCCTTTCCTAGTGCCTGTGCTGGGTGAGGAGAACCTCTGTCTGCAGGGAGGGCAAGTCTTGGGTCCCACCCTCACAGCACCATAGTGTGCGCCTGCCCCTCGGCCCTTGGGGTGGGCACTTAGCACATAGAAGGGACCAGAAGCAGGGCCTGGCGGTGCAGAGGAGCTGGAGGAGGTGTAAACAGCTCTATGCGTGTGGAGGAGGAGCTGGCACTTTCCACGCTGCTTGAAAGCCGCTGACATGCAGTTTCGTGTCTGTGTGAGCTGTTGTGCTCGGTCCTATCCCTTGTCAACGTGTGGAGACCCGGCTCCTGCAGTGCCGCTGCTCCCATGACCCTAGACAGCTCAATGGAGGGTGCTGCGTCTGGGCCATCCTGGGGTGCACCGTCAGAGACAAAGCTGCTTCCACATGCCCAGGGATTCAGACGGCACACTGGCCCTGGGAGGAGTCTGCCTCTGCAGGAAACCTCCTGACTCCCTCCATGAGAAATGGTCCCAGAGTCCCTGTTGCACCCTTTCCCTGTGGGGCACAGCTGGCCTGGGCCTCCCATTCTGGGTGTGGCCTTGACCTCAGAAGTGGCTCTGGTTTGGCCCCAGGAGTGTGTGGCCTGGGCCAGCCTGCAGCCTCCTGGAGAGCCCTTGGTGCCACTAAACCCCCCCAGCGCCGCCCCCTCCCCCGCTGCTTCTGCCAAAACTGCACAGACATGCATCGTCAGGCCGCTTGTGGCCTCCGGTGTACGCGCCTGTTTACGTCTTCTGTCCCACTGTCAAAACCAGCCCCTTGTGTGTGACTAGTTTTGCTTCGCAAGCCGTGGTGTGGCCCGTATGAATTGTGTGTAACTGTGGTGAGGGGACTGTCCCGTGTGAATGAGCCTGGGCCCCTCTGTATCTATCGCTGCCTGAACGCAACAGTAATTTATGTCTGAGACAAATACAGACTGGGCATCACTCTCCTGTTGTCTCCTCGTCTTTGTGTCAACAACCAAGGTGGGAGAGGGAGGGGAAGGCTTGGCACTGCCCACCCCAGGGCAGCTCTGTATAGGCTGTGAAGGGGTCTGGGAGTGGGCAGTCTCTCAGGTGGGTGGGTGTGGCAGTGTCTTCGCATTGGAGAGAGTGGATAGGCAAATGCCACAAGGCACATTTCAAGTTCCTGGGAAACTCCTCACTCTACAGAAACTGGAGAACAATTTGAGGATTGAGATAGAACATGATATTTCACAGTGAAAATAAAACCAGGCCACACGAGAACCACTGAGGCCTGCCCGTAACTCAGCTTTCCCTGCCCAGCATCTTGTCCTCCCTGGTCCATATCTGGTGGTGGCTGGGAGTGGGCCTTGTGGCTGCTAGCAGGCGGAAGGGAGGAGCTGGGCCTGTGGGTCGTCCTGGCCCGTGGGGGCCAGCGGGGAACGTTGGGGCTGGGCAAGACCCCGCAGGACCCGCAGGCTGGTCAGGGCCAGGCCCACGAGCAGGCGCAGCAGCAGGAAGGCGCAGGGCACGGCGATCTGTGTGAGGTGGAAGATGCCCGCGCTGAACCTGCTCAGCAGGCAGGTGGAGGCGAAGGCCAGCAGGCTGGCGCAGGGGTACAGGGCCAGCTTGGCGAACATGAGCACATGCTCCCGGCCGCCGAACCACACCGAGGGCTGCAGCGTGTCTGCCTGGTGCAGCAGCGCCGTGGTCCAGATGGCGAGCTGGAAGATGCTGGCCAGGAAGATGATGGCGCAGCTGACGCGGACACGCTCCAGCTCGTCATGGGGCTGCCGGGCGAAGGCTGAGGTCTGCTGGTAGGCCAGTGGGAGGCCACCCACAAAGGCCAGCGAGAACGTGTTGAGCAGCCCCATGGCCTGTGTGGCCTTGCGCACGTGCAGGAAGAGCGAGTGGTGGGCGAACCACAGCAGTGCCACAGTGGCAAAGGAACCGAAGTACGCCAGGAAGCGCGGCCCGAACACGCTCAGCGCAGCCACGAGGCTGCCGCCGAACCGCTCCTTCACGTCCTTGGGGTCCGGGACGTTGTCCTCACTGAGAACAGGAACAGATGGATTTGTGCTGGCCTCGCTGAGGCTACGCAGGACCCCCGCACGGTGTGCTGCCTGTCATGGCTGCCTGGCTACGGCACGTGGCTTTTCAGATGAACAACACGGACTTTGCAGCAGGCTAAATTTCAGAATGCCTATTTATATATGCTTGGCACACTGACCTAACGTTACATGCTGTTCATCTGAAATTCCACGGTTACTGGAGCCCCACCCTGCTGGCCTGAGTGCTGCTGGGGCCCTCTCTGGCTGAGTGCGTCTGCAGTGCAGGACCAGCCTGCTGTGGGGCAGCGAGGTCTGTTCCCTCCCAGCTTCCAGCCCTCGGAGCCACCCACATAACACCGTGACTGGAGATGTGCGGAGGGCTTGTCTGCATGGTTCTCAGATGCACAGGGCATCTTGGGAGGCCAACTCCCAGGCCGGACTCTGCAGCCCCAGGAGGCTGTGGGAACCACCCTGGTCAGGGCCGCTGACTTCTGACGGCACCACCCAGGAAGCTGGGAACAGCACCGTTTCAGCAACAGGACGTGGAGGACAGTGGTCCTCAAGCAGCCCCACATGGACTCCGTCCTCCAGAATGACAGGCAGAGGGCGGGGGTTGGGGGTGGGGGCAGGAAGTTGCTGGGAGCAGGCAGGTCACCCTGGAGCATCCCTTGCACCTGGGCCTTAGAGACAGGTGCAAACCAACATTTGCTTCCTGCTTTTAAAAATGCACACGTTGCAGCAGAGAAGAGCTACCAGGAGAGCGTTAGGAGACTCGGACTCGAGACATAAAGCACAGAATATAAAACCATAAACCACAGTGTCTTACCCTAACGAGATCAGTGCTGCATTACGACTAGGGAATGAAAGATGTGAGAAAGCAAATTAAAATGGAATGGCTGCCAGGCTCACGCCTGTAATCCCAGGACTTTGGGAGGCCGAGGTGGGCAGATCACCTGGGGTCAGGAGTTCAAGACCAGCCTTGCCAACATGGTGAAACCTCATGTCCACTAAAAATACAAAAAATTAGCCAAGGGTGGTGGTGGGCGCATTAGTCCCAGCTAGTCAGGAGGCTGAGGCGGAAGAACCGCTTGAGCCCGGGAGGTGGGAAGGTGGAGGTTGCAGTGAGCCGAGATCGAGCCACTGCACTCCAGCCTGGATGACAGAGCCAGATTCTGTCTATAAAAAAAAAAAAAAAAAAAAGAAAAAGAAAAACAAAAAACAATAATGTGACAACCGAGACAAGCACTTTAACAGATGAGGCAGTGGAGGAGCAGACGCTGGAAGGAAGTGGAAGCAATAGCAGGCTGTGGGGAGTGGGAGGGGCTTGGGGGGCTGGGAGGTGATGGGGAACTGGGAGACGATGGAGGGGCTGCTGGGAGGGACTGGTGCTGGGGCAGGGGTGAGGCCTGAGGTACAACTGCTGAGCCCCTTTGGGAAGAATGAAAAGAACAGTTGGCAGCTGGTGCTGCCTTCGCCCTGGCACCCCATCACCAGCCTGCGCTTTGGGTGGGGGCTGCTGGGAAGGGAGAGGGGCCGCTGGGAAGTGGGGGCTGTTGGGAAGGGAGGGCTGCTTGGAGGGCTGTCTTCCCTGACATGGGGGCTGCCCTGACCTCACATAAAATTCGAGGCATCCAGGAGAGGTGGAGCCAAGACCCCTGAGCCTTTCTGGGGTTTCCAGGACACACTGGGCACCCAACATAGCTGGGGCAGGTGGCATGGGGTCCTCACCAGATGTCCAGGATGAGAAGAGTGGCCACGATGGCGTAGACACCGTCGCTGAAGGCTTCCACCCGCTCCTTGCTGAGCGGCTCATGAAGGTCAAATGTGAAGACTTCCACTGGGTAAGCCAAGGGCTCCCTGTGGCCTGTGGACAAGCCAAGTGGGTGGAGCTGGCCAAGACCCAACACATGGAGCCACAGCCCGTGTGGCTGTCCACAGAAGAGGCCTGGAACGTGCAGGCCAGGAGAGAATACAGCACAGCGACACCCCGAGGGACAGAGCAGGGGAGCCCCGGCCACCACCATGCACATAGGCATCGGCCCTCAGTGTGGAGCAGGCATGCGGCCATTGGCCTCGGGCCAGCCAGTCATCACCTACCCAGGAGCCTGTCTCGGCACCAGCCGGCGGCCTTGCTGATGTACGGGAGGAGGATGACGGTTGCCATCAGTAGGTAAGACTGCAGGGGGAGACACCACAGGTTAGCGCCCTCCACAGGGGACCAGGGCCAGGCTTTATCCAGACACAGCTGTGTGTGCGCCAAAGAACCGGCAGCGGCAGGAGGGATGGCTCTGCAGATCATGGATCTGACAGGGCCGAGTAGCCAAAAAGTGTCAGGAATTCTGAAGCCCAGCACAGTGACTCATGCCTGTAACCCCAGCACTTTGGGAGGCTGAGCAGGTGGGTCGCTTGGGCCCAAGAGTTCGAGACCAGCCTGGGCAACATAGTAAACTGCATCTCTCCAAAAATGAAAATTATCCAGGCGTGACGAAGGGCACCTGCCGAACCTGGGAGGCAGGAGTTGCAGTAGGCAGCGATCCAGCTCACTACTCCAGCCTAGGTGAAAGGGCAAGACTGTCTTAAAAGCTGCCTGCTTGCAATTCTTACAACTCAACAATAAACACAACCCAGTTAAAAATGGGCAAAGGATGACAACAGACAGTTTTCCAAATGAAACGTGCAAACGGTCAACATATTCATGAGAAGACGCTCAACCCCCTCCGCCATGATGAAAACGCACATCCAACCCCAATGAGATTCCTTGACACCCACTAAGCCGCAGAGAAAGGAAGAACAGCAGGTGTCAGTGAGGATGTAGAGAAATGAACTGCTGTGCGCTGCTGCTGGGAGCATAAAATGGTGTAGCTGCTGTGGAAGTTTGGTGATTCCTCAACAAATTAAACTTAAAAAATTCAACACAGAATCACCGTATGACCCAGCAACTCACTGCTGGGCACACACACAAAAGACCTGAGAAGACAGATCTGAAGAAATGCGTGTCCAGCAATGCTCACAGCGGAATCACTCACGATGGCCACACGTGTCCAGGAATGCTCACAGCAGTATCACAATAGGTACACGTGTCCAGCAATGCTCATGGCGGCTTCACTCACGACGGCCACACACGTCCAGCAATGCTTGCAGTGGCTTCACTCACGACAGCCACACGTGTCCAGCAATGCTCACAGTGGCTTCACTCACGATGGCCACACGTGTCCGGGAATGCTCACAGCAGTATCACTCACAATAGGTACACGTGTCCAGCAATGCTCATGGCGGCTTCACTCACGACGGCCACACACATCCAGCAATGCTTGCAGCGGCTTCACTCACGACAGCCACACGTGTCCAGCAATGCTCACAGTGGCTTCACTCACGATGGCCACACGTGTCCGGGAATGCTCACAGCAGTATCACTCACAATAGGTACACATGTCCAGCAATGCTTGCAGCGGCTTCACTCACAACAGCCACACGTGTGCAGCAATGCTCACAGCGGCTTCACTCATAACGGCCACACGTGTCTAGCAATGCTCAGAGCAGCTTCACTCATTGTTGGATGACGGCCACGTGTCCAACAATGCTCACAGTGGCTTTACTCACGACGGCCACACGTGTCCAACAATGCTCACAGTGGCTTCACTCACGGCCACGTGTGTCCAGGAATGCTCACAGTGACTTCACTCACGATGGCCACACGTGTCCAGCAATGATCACGGCGGCTTCACTCACGATGGCCACGTGTCCAGGGTGCTTACAGTGGCTTCACTCATGACAGCCACGTGTCCAGCCATGCTCACAGCAGCTTCACTCACGACGGCCATGTGCCCAGCAATGCTCACAGTGGCTTCACTCATGACAGCTGAAAGACGCAGATCCCAGATCTCCATCCATGGCTGAGTGCGCCCACATGACGTGGCACAAGACTCACAGTGGACTCACCCATAAAGAAGAAACACGGTTTTGATATGGGTAACAACGTGGGTGAATCTTGACAATGTTAAGAGGCCAGACACGAAAAGGCCACATACTGTGTGAGTCTCTGCATATGGAGAATCCAGAACACACAAGTTTATGGACACAGAAAGTGCATCTGGCTCCCGGGAACTAGGTCCTGACCTCATCAGCCTGCCCCCTGTCACTCAGCCACCACCAGAAGAGGCTGTCCCATCTCTCACACCAGGACTGCCTCAGACTGCTCCCCCTTATCCCTGCCCACTGTGCTGGCCACCTACCCACCTGCCTGCCTCTGCCCAGGACTCAGCCCACCTGCCCTCTGTGGAGCCCCTGCCCTGCTCTGACCTCACAGAGGCTGCAGTTGAGGACACCTGCCCCTCCTGCCAGTGCCAGTGGGTGGTCCACCCTTCTGGAGGAAGTCCCAAGCCTCTGGCCTGTCCCACCCTGACATCTCCCTGGCGTCTACTCCCTTTTGTTTCACAGGCATCAAATGCATCTGGTCTAAGAGCAGCCATGGCTCTGGGGCTCACAGGCTGCCCCTACTCAGCCCCCAGCTCCAGCCCCTCTTGGTGGAGGAGATGGCCTGCCCAGGCCTCTAGTGAATGAGGCATCAGCGCCAGGTGCTCACCAGACATGTCTGTTTCTTTAGAGACTGGGTCTTGCTGTGTTGCCTAGGCTGGGGTGTGGTGCTATTCACAGGCACGATCCCTCTACCAACGGGCATGGGAGTTCTGACCTTCCCCACTTCCGACCTGAGCCGGCCCCCACTCCTTACGCAACCTGGCGGCTCTCTGCTCCTGGAAGGTCACCACATTGATGCCGAACTGAGTGCAGAAATCCAACCGGCACAGCCACGAACCTCCCGGCTCCCACGGTCCTCTGGCGCCAGCCTCCCAAGTAGCTGGGACTATAGGTGCACTGCCACCTGGCTGCCGTCTATTTTAAATTTGGGATTCTTCTGAAATGTTTACTAAACATTTACAATAACAACCGTTCATTTTTCCACAATTCCTTTTCTTTTCTTTTTTTTTTTTTTTTGAGACAAAGTCTCCATCTTGTTGCCAGGGCTGGAGTGCAGTGGCCCAATCTCAGCTCACCGAAACCTCCACCTCCTGGGTTCAAGCAATTCTGCCTCAGCTTCCAGAGTAGCTGGGACTACAGGCGCGCACCCCCACACCCAGCTAATTTTTGTATTTTTAGTAGAGACGGGGTGTCACCATGTTGGCCAGGATGGTCTCCATCTATTGACCTTGTAATCTGCCCGCCTCGGCCTCCCAAAGTGCTGAGATTACAGGCGTGAGTCACCGCACCTGGCCCAGATTTCCACAATTCTTCTGGTGCTCTGGGTTTAAAAATTCAATTTACTTCAAAGGTGCTCCAGCAGGTCCAGATGCCACAAATAAAGCTGCAACTTCAACTCTGAAACAGCTGGTTTTTAGGGTTTGTTGCTCTGTTTCTGGGAGATGGTGGCATTCCTAGAATGACGTCTAGAATGATGGCCTTATCCTATTAAATCAGCCGTTGCCTTTAGAGCCGCAAGTGAGTAGCCCTCGGTCTTCTGGCTGGGCGAAGAGGCTCCTAGTTGTCTTCTACCTGAGCGAGGGCTGCTAGGAGGCCCTGTGCTGCCACCCCCCTCCCACCCCTGGCACTGCTGCCAGATGCATGTGACGGCCCCTGGCAGACCCAACTCCTGCTGCCAACAGCTGGGTCCTCAGCTCTGCTTTCTCTGCTTTCCCAGGCTCCACTGTGGGTTCTAGAACTTTCCTTTGTTGCCTTCTCCCTCTCCCCGGTGGCTCAAATTCTCCAAGCACCAACAGCTGATGTCGCCATGAGCAGATGCCAGGCTTTTCCCGAGGGGCTCCTCCTCCAAACAGCTGTTTGATGTTTAGTTTTATAGATTCCTTATCCAAAACCAAGTAAAGGCTGGCGTGGTGGCTCACACCTGTAATCCCAGCACTTTGGGAGGCTGAGGTGGGAGATGACTTCAGTGCAGGCATTCCAGACTAACCTGAGCAACACAGCAAGACCCTGTCTCCCCCAAAATATAAAGATTACCCAGGGGTGGTGGTGCACACCTGCAGTCCCTGAGACTCGGGAGGCTGAGGTGAGAGAATCGCTTGTGCCCGGGAGGTTGAGGCTGCGGTGAGCCAAGATTGCACCACTGCCCTCCAGCCTAGGTAACAGAGCAGGATCTTGCCTCAATAAATAAAAAACGAAACAGGAGAATTTGAGCATCCCTGGACTCCTGGTGTCTGTTTCTCATCGTCATTTTGAAGCTTCGCTGAGAAGACCCTCAGCTGTCCCTTCCTTCCATGAGTGTCCGTCTCTGTCTTTGACAGGCTGGGTCCCGGGGCCTCAGGAGCAGGCCTCCCTCCTCAGCCCTGGGCCTCACACACGAGACCCTTGGTAGGACCCCTGCCTGCCTGCGGCTCTGTCCCCCACCCCCATGTCTGTCACTTGGGGGGACATTGCTCCCATGGTGCCCCTGGTCCCCGCCTTGGCCCTGGAGGGCTGTCCCAGCACTCACCAAGGGGACAAAGAAGAGGGAGAAGATGGCTGCCATGAAGCAGAGGGCTGGGCCTCGGAGGACGATGCCCAGGATGTGTCTTCTGTACAGGGTCCTGTGGGCGGAGCGCTGGATCTGCAGGCTCAGCAGGTGCGGGAAGTGGAATGCGTACCCCACAATCAGTGCCTGTGGGAAAAGCAAGGTGCAGGACGCCGGCCCCAAGAGCAGGGGGGGCCCTCACACCAGTCCAGACCCAGGCTGTAAGGCATGCACACAGGCACGGGTCTCAGGGGAGGGGATCTGGTGGGTAGAGGTGGGCTTCTACCCCAGGACACTTCAGGCAGAGGGCCTGAGGTGGTGAAAAAGACAGGAGCCTCTGCTGGCTCCTGGGGCTGCGTGTGTCGGGGGGTCTCAGGTTAGAATGCAGGGGGCTCTGGGCATGCCATATCCTATGTGTGTAGGTGGCCCTGGGCACCCTACTCGTGTGACCCAACAATCACACACACACACACGCGCGTGCACGCACACACACGGTGCAGGCCCCCAGCCCCCTACCTGCATGATCCTGATGGCAATCACACACACACACACGCACACACACACACGCACACGGTGCAGGCCCCCAGCCCCCACCTGCACGATCCCAATGGCGATCTCTTACACACACACACATGCGCACACACATGTACACGGTACAGACCCCCAGCCCCCACCTGCACGATCCCAATGGCGATCTCTCTCTCTCTCTCTCTCTCACACACACACACACACACACACACACACGGTGCAGGCCCCCAGCCCCCTACCTGCACGATGCTGATGGCGATCTCACACTCACACACACACACACGCACACGGGGCAGGCCCCCAGCCCTCTACCTGCACGATCCCGATGGTGATCACACACACACACACACGCACACGGTGCAGGCCCCCAGCCCCCACCTGCATGATCCCAATGGCGATCTCTCTCTCACACACACACACACACACACACACACACACACACACACACGGTGCAGGCCCCCAGCCCCCTACCTGCACGATGCTGATGGCGATCTCACACTCACACACACACACACACGCACACGGGGCAGGCCCCCAGCCCTCTACCTGCACGATCCCGATGGTGATCACACACACACACACGCACACGGTGCAGGCCCCCAACCCCCACCTGCATGATCCCAATGGCGATCTCTCACACACACACAGGCACACGGTGCAGGCCCCCAGCCCCCACCTGCATGATCCCAATGGCGATCTCACACACACACACACACACACACACACACACACACACACACGGTGCAGGCCCCCGGCCCCCTACCTGCACAATCCCGATGGCGATCACACACACACACACACACACACGGTGCAGGCCCCCGGCCCCCTACCTGCACGATCCCGATGGCGATCACACACACACACACACACGCACACACACACAAGCACACACACGGTGCAGGTCCCCAGTCCCCTACCTGCATGATCCCGATGGCGATCACACACACACGCGCGCACACACGCACACACACAGTGCAGGCCCCCGGCCCCCTACCTGCACGATCCCGATGGCGATCTCACACACACACACACGCACACACACACACACGCACACGGTGCAGGCCCCCGGCCCCCTACCTGCACGATCCCGATGGCGATCACACACACACACACACACACGCACACACACACTCGCACACACACGGTGCAGGTCCCCGGTCCCCTACCTGCACGATCCCGATGGCGATCACACACACACAGAACATGAAGATGCCCAGGGGCACATCGGGGAAGGTCACCATTAAGGAAAACTGTTGAAAACAAAAACAACTCCCAAATCCAAATCCTAGGTGACTAGGCTCCTGGGCTCCGGAGCCTAGAACTGGGCCATGGTGAGCTTCCTCACCCCATGGGACACTGGGAGATGGGCAGGCAACCAAGGATGGGGCAGCTGGGTGCTGGGGCATGTGTCCAAACTGCCCTTACCCCAACCAACTCCATCAAACGTCCCAGGCCTTCAAGCCAGAACGTCACCAAATTCATATGAAACCCCACAGACTGCAGTTCCTGGTGGCACACGGCCTGGCGCATTCAGAGCAGCAGCCACTGCCAGAACGTGGCGGCACCTTCACAGCCTGAGCAGTGGAGGGCAGGTGACTGGACGCTGCAGGAGCCGCCTGCCAGGAGCATGCCTAGGATGGGCAGGAGGCTGCAGACTTGGGGCCGGTGGGAGCTGGGGGGGGCCAGTGACTCCCTCACGGGGCCAGTGCCTCCTGTCCCTACCCAGCCTGGAGCCCGATGCAGGCCGACGGCTGGCTCTCCCCAGAACCTTCTCTGTTCTCTGCAACTGTGTGGCCTGGGCCCGGGACTGTCCAGCTGGTCGGTTTCGGAGGACAGGCCTAATTTGGTGGTACCCAGCAAAGCCTCAGGGTGTCAGAGGCCTGGCGCTGCTCACCGTATAAGGCAGGAAGGTGATGGTCATCATGCAGGCCTGGGGGGAAGGAGGGCATCACGGCCATGAAGCAGCCTGGGGAGGAGGGCAGAGGGATGGACAGAGCCCACTTGGGAAGGCACAGGGCAGGGCCCTCCCTAGGACAGAAGGATAGGACGTCAAGTGCATCCAGCCCCCAGACCATACAGGGCCAGATGGGGGCACCTGGCCTGTCTGTCCCCCACAGCTGAGCCCAACACAGTGCCCCCCCGGCCCTCCACTCCCTGGCCCTGTCTGGAAGAAGATACAGGCTGGCGGCCCATGGAGAGGGAAAGGTCACTCAAGGAGCTACCGGGAGTGGACAGATCCCAGCTCCGAGGAGCCCTGCAGGCCACGAGAGAGGCAGCTGTGAGGGTTAAATGGCAAACTAAAACAATTCCCCAGAAAACAAGAACACGCTCACCAGGTTGAGCAGGGCAAGTGTGTCGTCTATTTTCCCAACAACTTGGAACAACCTACACCATTTAAGAAAAAGACAAAAAGGGAACACAAAGCGCTGTGGTCACATCACAGCACACACACTCCCAGCATCCTCCGGGGGAGCGCATTAAGGGATGTGATGACCACCCCAACATATAACCTGCCTAGTGTACAGCACACACTCCCAGCATCCTCCGGGGGAGCACCATTAAGGGATGTCACTGCCACCCCAACATATAACCTGCCTAGTGTACAGCACACACTCCCAGCATCCTCCGGGGGAGCACCATTAAGGGATGTCACTGCCACCCCAACATATAACCTTCCTAGTGTACAGCACACACTCCCAGCATCCTCCGGGGGAGCACCATTAAGGGATGTCACTGCCACCCCAACATATAACCTGCCTAGTGTACAGCACACACTCCCAGCATCCTCCGGGGGAGCCCATTAAGGGATGTGATGACCACCCCAACATATAACCTGCCTAGTGTACAGCACACACTCCCAGCATCCTCCGGGGGAGCCCATTAAGGGATGTGATGACCACCCCAACATATAACCTGCCTAGTGTACAGCACACACTCCCAGCATCCTCCGGGGGAGCACCATTAAGGGATGTCACTGCCACCCCAACATATAACCTGCCTAGTGTACAGCACACACTCCCAGCATCCTCCGGGGGAGCCCATTAAGGGATATGATTACCACCCCAACATATAACCTGCCTAGTGTACAGCACACACTCCCAGCATCCTCCGGGGGAGCACCATTAAGGGATGTGATTACCACCCCAACATATAACCTGCCTAGTGTACAGCACACACTCCCAGCATCCTCCGGGGGAGCCCATTAAGGGATATGATTACCACCCCAACATATAACCTGCCTAGTGTACAGCACACACTCCCAGCATCCTCCGGGGGAGCACCATTAAGGGATGTGATTACCACCCCAACATATAACCTGCCTAGTGTACAGCACACACTCCCAGCATCCTCCGGGGGAGCACCATTAAGGGATGTCACTGCCACCCCAACATATAACCTTCCTAGTGTACAGCACACACTCCCAGCATCCTCCGGGGGAGCACTATTAAGGGATGTGATTACCACCCAACATATAACCTGCCTAGTGTACAGCACACACTCTCAGCATCCTCCGGGGGAGCCCATTAAGGGATGTCACTGCCACCCCAACATATAACCTGCCTAGTGTACAGCACACACTCCCAGCATCCTCCGGGGGAGCACCATTAAGGGATGTCACTGCCACCCCAACATATAACCTGCCTAGTGTACAGCACACACTCTCAGCATCCTCCGGGGGAGCCCATTAAGGGATGTCACTGCCACCCCAACATATAACCTGCCTAGTGTACAGCACACACTCCCAGCATCCTCCGGGGGAGCACCATTAAGGGATGTCACTGCCACCCCAACATATAACCTGCCTAGTGTACAGCACACACTCCCAGCATCCTCCGGGGGAGCACTATTAAGGGATGTGATTACCACCCAACATATAACCTGCCTAGTGTACAGCACACACTCCCAGCATCCTCCGGGGGAGCACTATTAAGGGATGTGATTACCACCCCAACATATAACCTGCCTAGTGTACAGCACACACTCTCAGCATCCTCCGGGGGAGCCCATTAAGGGATGTGATTACCACCCCAACATATAACCTGCCTAGTGTACAGCACACACTCTCAGCATCCTCCGGGGGAGCACCATTAAGGGATGTCACTGCCACCCAACATATAACCTACCTAGTGTACAGCACACACTCCCAGCATCCTCCGGGGGAGCACCATTAAGGGATGTCACTGCCACCTCAACATATAACCTTCCTAGTGTACAACACACACTCCCAGCATCCTCCGGGGGAGCACCATTAAGGGATGTCACTGCCACCCCAACATATAACCTGCCTAGTGTACAGCACACACTCCCAGCATCCTCCGGGGGAGCACCATTAAGGGATGTCACTGCCACCTCAACATATAACCTTCCTAGTGTACAACACACACTCCCAGCATCCTCCGGGGGAGCACCATTAAGGGATGTGATTACCACCCCAACATATAACCTGCCTAGTGTACAGCACACACTCCCAGCATCCTCCGGGGGAGCACTATTAAGGGATGTGACTTACCACCCCAACATATAACCTGCCTAGTGTACAGCACACACTCTCAGCATCCTCCGGGGGAGCCCATTAAGGGATGTGATTACCACCCCAACATATAACCAACCTAGTGTACAGCACACACTCCCAGCATCCTCCGGGGGAGCCCATTAAGGGATGTCACTGCCACCCCAACATATAACCTGCCTAGTGTACAGCACACACTCTCAGCATCCTCCGGGGGAGCCCATTAAGGGATGTCACTGCCACCCCAACATATAACCTGCCTAGTGTACAGCACACACTCCCAGCATCCTCCGGGGGAGCACCATTAAGGGATGTCACTGCCACCCCAACATATAACCTGCCTAGTGTACAGCACACACTCCCAGCATCCTCCGGGGGAGCACTATTAAGGGATGTGATTACCACCCAACATATAACCTGCCTAGTGTACAGCACACACTCCCAGCATCCTCCGGGGGAGCACTATTAAGGGATGTGATTACCACCCCAACATATAACCTGCCTAGTGTACAGCACACACTCTCAGCATCCTCCGGGGGAGCCCATTAAGGGATGTGATTACCACCCCAACATATAACCTGCCTAGTGTACAGCACACACTCTCAGCATCCTCCGGGGGAGCACCATTAAGGGATGTCACTGCCACCCAACATATAACCTACCTAGTGTACAGCACACACTCCCAGCATCCTCCGGGGGAGCACCATTAAGGGATGTCACTGCCACCTCAACATATAACCTTCCTAGTGTACAACACACACTCCCAGCATCCTCCGGGGGAGCACCATTAAGGGATGTCACTGCCACCCCAACATATAACCTGCCTAGTGTACAGCACACACTCCCAGCATCCTCCGGGGGAGCACCATTAAGGGATGTCACTGCCACCCCAACATATAACCTTCCTAGTGTACAACACACACTCCCAGCATCCTCCGGGGGAGCACCATTAAGGGATGTCACTGCCACCCCAACATATAACCTGCCTAGTGTACAGCACACACTCCCAGCATCCTCCGGGGGAGCACTATTAAGGGATGTGATTACCACCCCAACATATAACCTGCCTAGTGTACAGCACACACTCTCAGCATCCTCCGGGGGAGCCCATTAAGGGATGTGATTACCACCCCAACATATAACCAACCTAGTGTACAGCACACACTCCCAGCATCCTCCGGGGGAGCCCATTAAGGGATGTCACTGCCACCCCAACATATAACCTGCCTAGTGTACAGCACACACTCTCAGCATCCTCCGGGGGAGCCCATTAAGGGATGTCACTGCCACCCCAACATATAACCTGCCTAGTGTACAGCACACACTCCCAGCATCCTCCGGGGGAGCACCATTAAGGGATGTCACTGCCACCCCAACATATAACCTGCCTAGTGTACAGCACACACTCCCAGCATCCTCCGGGGGAGCCCATTAAGGGATATGATTACCACCCCAACATATAACCTGCCTAGTGTACAGCACACACTCCCAGCATCCTCCGGGGGAGCACCATTAAGGGATGTGATTACCACCCCAACATATAACCTGCCTAGTGTACAGCACACACTCCCAGCATCCTCCGGGGGAGCACCATTAAGGGATGTGATTACCACCCCAACATATAACCTTCCTAGTGTACAGCACACACTCCCAGCATCCTCCGGGGGAGCACCATTAAGGGATGTCACTGCCACCCAACATATAACCTACCTAGTGTACAGCACACACTCCCAGCATCCTCCGGGGGAGCACCATTAAGGGATGTCACTGCCACCCAACATATAACCTACCTAGTGTACAGCACACACTCCCAGCATCCTCCGGGGGAGCACTATTAAGGGATGTCACTGCCACCCAACATATAACCTACCTAGTGTACAGCACACACTCCCAGCATCCTCCGGGGGAGCACCATTAAGGGATGTGATTACCACCCCAACATATAACCTTCCTAGTGTACAGCACACACTCCCAGCATCCTCCGGGGGAGCACCATTAAGGGATGTCACTGCCACCCAACATATAACCTACCTAGTGTACAGCACACACTCCCAGCATCCTCCGGGGGAGCACCATTAAGGGATGTCACTGCCACCCAACATATAACCTACCTAGTGTACAGCACACACTCCCAGCATCCTCCGGGGGAGCACTATTAAGGGATGTCACTGCCACCCAACATATAACCTACCTAGTGTACAGCACACACTCCCAGCATCCTCCGGGGGAGTACCATTAAGGGATGTCACTGCCACCCAACATATAACCTACCTAGTGTACAGCACACACTCCCAGCATCCTCCGGGGGAGCACCATTAAGGGATGTCACTGCCACTCCAATTCCTAGTGTACAGCACACACTCCCAGCATCCTCTGGGGGAGCACCATTAAGGGATGTCACTGCCACCCAACATATAACCTGCCTAGTGTGTAGCATTTGGAAAACACAGAGTAAAGGAAGTGCCCCAGAAAGCACCCCACCCACGCACACACTCCCCACTACTTCCTCCCGACTCACAGCCTGCTGTTCTCAGCAGGGTTGTTGTCAGAGACCACCGCACACCCTGGTAGCTTTGTGGTTTTCTCAGCATGACTTTGGCAGCAGGCCACCTCACGGAGCTCGCGGGCCGTGCTTGTGCCTCTGCACTGCAGACACGGGGCCAGGGACACGGCAATTATTTAGGGGTCTCAGGTGCTTGGTGGTCAGAGGAGGCCTGTGGGCCTCCTGGGGGGGCATCCTCAGGAGGTTGTGAGTTTCTTGTTCCCAGGCACAGAGGCCCAGCCTGCAGCCCTCTGAATACACTTTCTGTGGAGCTAGAGCTCCTCCGCCTGAGGAATTCAACCTTCAGGCCTTGTGTCCAAAACCGTTTTGAAAAAAGGAAACCCTCTTTCCCATTGCTTCTTCAGGGGCTGCATACACTACACCTGTGGAAAAGTCCACGGAACACCCACGAGGTAAGAAACATAACAGAATAAACACAGAGCACTGTCTGCCACCATGAAAATGAGCACAGCCCACACGGCCCCATTGCTGAAGCAGGAAGGGCGCGCCTCAATCATCCACTCCGAAGTCAGGGGCTCTTCCTGGGCTAGGCTTGACTGAGCTGAAGTACCCCAGCCTGGGGGTCTGTAACCCTGTCAAGGCGTCAGGGGCCCAATGGTGGCCGCAGGGTATCAGACACGGGCTCACTCGGGCTGCACATTTCACCAAAAAGTAGAAAAGGAAAGGACGCTATCTCCCTGGAGACAGCAGCACTGGTGACCTGCTGAGCCTGGGACACCGCAAGCAGGCCTATATGCCCTCCGAGGATAAGCGGAGCAGATCTGTGAAGCTCCCTTCCAGACTTCTCAGAGCCCCCAGGCCTGCCCTGCCCTGAACTCCACAGCGGGTGTGGCCTCCGAGGAACAAGTACTCGAGGGAGGGTGTGTGTGGCCCTGTCCACGCCGCTGATCTCATGAGATCTCATGAGGAGCCTGGCACAGTCAGTGGCCCACCAAACTCCCACCAGCTGTGGGCCTCCTGGGTGTTCTGTGAACAAGGAAGGCTGAAGAGAAAGCCCTCCCCTAAGTAAGAAGAGGCCCATCTGTCACCACTAGAAACAGTCACCTTGCTGAAAGCAAGTCCGTCACATAAAACGTTCAGCCATGCTTTCAAGGCAGGCTCTGATGCCTCCCTGGCCACCACCACCCTGCAGCCCAAGACAGGAATGGAGCCTTCTCAGTGCCCACTGCTCTGCAGCCCTAGCTCCACCCCTGGGGTCCTCCTGTTCCTCTCTGCATGGGGCAGGTGGTCAGTGGCCCTTGCAGCGCTGGGCCCTTGGATCTTTTATTTTTTTGGAGTCTCGCGCTGTCGCCCAGGCTGGAGTGCAATAGTGCAATCTTGGCTCACTGCAACCTCCACCTCCCAGGTTCAAGCCATTCTCCTGCCTCAGTCTCCCAAGTAGCTGGGATTACAGGCACCCGCCACCACGCCCAGCTAATTTTTCTATTTTTAGTAGAGATGGGGTTTCACCATGTTGGCCAGGCTGGTCTCAAACTACTGACCTCAGGTGATCTGCCCACCTCAGCCTCCCAGAGTGCTGGAATTACAGGCGTGAGCCACCATGCCCAGCCTCTCCTTGGATCTTAAAGAACCTTGTTCTCTCGAAGGCGAAGCTCCAGCCCTAGAGCATGTGTCCTGCAGACATAGCCTCCCTGCCGGGGAGATGGCAGTGCAATGAGACCCCAGGACACAGAACTGGGAGGATGAGGCTGTGTGCCATCTGACAGTGTTAATGGGCGCAGCACATGTGCCCTCTCCTGCCTGGCTGCAGCCTGGTCTCGAGGCAGCTCTCACATGCAGGAGGAAGGTCTGTGTGGCTGAGAGGCGGTGGCAGCGACTCTCACAGCGACTGTGAGAGGAATCTCGCCTTGGAGGGAGCACCTTCACCTGTGGCACCGTCTACACTGTCCCAGGCCCCAGGGCCGTCCCCATGGGGATGAGGGTGGGAAGAGATGCCTGCTGTCCCCCACCCCTGGGGGCCCGTGTGTGATGCAGTGCGGAGCACAGGAACTTTGAGAGCGGCCGTGGCCCCTACCTTGTGTGCGCCGCCCAGGCCACCGTTACGATGAGAAAGGTCATCAGGTAGACGGCGATCCGTGTTGCCAGAAGCCTCTGTACACTTCTGTCGAACTGCTGGAGTACAAGAGCACTGCTGTCAGAGCCCAGTGACACAAGTGTCCCTGAATGGCAGTCGAGACAGCATCGTGCGGGGGCTGTCCTCCGCCCAGGACAGGGCAAGGCCCTCAGGTGGGCCCCATGAGGCGCCGGGGAGGGTCCAGCCCCCACCTCCACCTCGCCTGTCTCCCCTGGTGCCTTCAGATCCCACCCCTCCAGCCCTCACCCCTTCTCCAGGGCACTGAGCCATGCCCACACCCACAGGAGCATTCTGGAGTCTTCTGTGGGTTGTGCCTGCTGAGCAATCAGCTCTTAAGGAGCTAAGTGTCTCTGAGGACCCCGCTTCAGGGATGATGCCCTCTGGGGGTCCTCACACGGGAAGGGAGAAAAAGGCAAAAGCACCAGGTCACCTCCAAAGGCTCTGCCTCACAACGCCATCACTGTGGGGCATCGGTGTGTGAACCCTGGAGGGGCACACGGGCTCACACCGTAGCAGGTTTGCACTCGGCACTGCCTGGGTAGGCAATTCTGAAGCAGCCGTGGGTAAGGGCCTCCGCGGAAACTGCGAGGAACCTCGCAGACGGCCCGCCCCAGGGTCTGTGTTCAGCAGGAGGCACTGCCTGGGTAGGCAATTCTGAAGCAGCCATGGGTAAGGGCCTCCGAGGAAACTGCGAGGAACCTCGCAGACGGCCCGCCCCAGGGTCTGTGTTCAGCAGGAGGCCCTGGGGGCAGTGCTGCAGTCAACAAGGCCCTCGCCCTCCAGCCCTGAGAAGGGTTTTCATGCTGTCTCCAGGAAAGCTCCAAACAGAAAACTGCTCTACTGTCTTCCTGGGTTCTCTACTTGCAGGCAGGTCTCCGGGTCAATAACTAGCTTTTCAAAGTTATGACTGTCTTTTATTTACAGAGTGAGCACAGCCCAGGAACCCCCCTCTCCTCACAAGGAGGTGTCCGCTGCTCTAGCCAGTCCCTGGGACACACGTCAGACCTTTCCCTCTTCCCGCAAATGTGTTCTCTGAAAGAGCTTCTGACTCTCCAGGACTGAGGCTCCGACCCTCCCTGTGACCCAGTTGGGACAGCAGAGGAAAGACAGGGTGCTAAACATCACAGTCCCTGAAAGGTGCCCTGACGGCAGAGAAGTCAGAGCAGGTTTAGGCTTGCAGGGTTTTCTTATTTTCAACCAGCCACGCCCTTCATTTTCATGCGACCTCTGGCCTGGGCATCTCAGGTGGACCTGGCCGGGTCTCAGCAACCCCATTCTGAAAGGGGCAACCAAGGTCAGTACATTGCATCCCTGGCCAGCACATGACGACCACATTTGGCCAGGCCCAGTGGGCCTCGGTGGGAGCGTGGTTTTCCCTGGAGAGGGCAGGGGTGGCCCTGGGGTCCCAATGCCTGTGCTGCCTGCCACCTGCTGCTGCCCAGGGTCTCCCTGCAAACCGGGCCAGGCTCCACCTGGTTTCTACTTCTCATGAAAACCCTATGAAAAGTCTCATCATCCTTTCCGCACAGCTGAGAAAGCTGAACTCTAAGCAGCTCCCAAGACTTCCCAGCGCCCCCCAGGCTCAGCTCACTGGTCAGGACTGGAGCCCCAGCCTCAGCACCGGCCCAGGAAGGGCTACATCTTCACTGCTGAGCCTCGCCACCCAGTCATGAGGACACCGAGCCAGGCAGATGTGCACCTCAGACGCCTTCCAGTTGCTCCCCTTCTGAGAGTGTTGCTCTTTAGCTCAGAAATAGTCAACGTGGCTGTAAGCGGAAACTCTGCCTGTAAACCCTTTGACCCCACCTCCAGGCCGTAGGAGCAGCCAGGGTGGGCGTGTCCCTGCTGTTTACGCAGAACAGCTACGTAAGGTGCCTGCTGGGGCAGCTGCCCTTCCGTAAAGGAAACGTCTGTCCTTGGGGCAGGCCTGGAACCTTCCTCTTCCAACTTGTCCTCTGGCTCACCTCCAGGGCACTGCCTTTGTCTGCTGAGCTCTGACAAAGAGCCTTAGGAGCCCAGCCTCCTGCCCTCCCAGGAGGCCAAGACCTCTGCCGGGATGGGCACAGGCTGAGCGGGCTGCCCCCTCCCAGGAGGCCAGGACCTCCGCCGGGGTGGGCGTAGGCTGAGCAGGCCTTGCTGACCCTCTCCCTTTCCAAGGAGGCCCCTGCCTCCTGCCTCTGCCTTCTCAGCCTCAGAAGCTTTAAAGGGTGCAGGGTCAGCTGCCTGTGCCAGGTCAGGCCTCAGGGACCCTGTGTCTTCTCAGAGCCACATACACAGAGCACAGCCTGCCCTGTTACCTGTTCCGGGGAGATCTCCGTGTGTGTCACAGGCAGGATCTGAGGAACAAGGAGACAGAAGGAAGTGAGACACTTGTTGGGCTGGGTGTGGTGGGACTGGGGACTCAAAGGCTGTGCTGGGCACCCCCTAAGCTGTCTGAGGGGATGGGGGACCCAAGGATGCTGGCAAGACCTGGGATGGCTCTGAGACAGGCTTGGCAGTGCCTCAAGGGGCTCGGGGTGGGGCAGGCCTACACAGGGGCCCGATACAGACCATGACAGTGGCGATGATGGACAGCAGGGCGTCGCTGAAGCTGAGCATGCGTTGGGAGCACTGGATCCCCTCCCTGGTGTCCTCGTCCCTCCTGCCAGGGGAGCAGTCCCCCAGCGCGTCCAGCACCTGCTCTGGGGCCCGGGGCTGGGACATGGTGAGGCTGCTGCCCGACAGTCACAGGAGCCTGGGAGGAAAGGCAGGTCTGAGCGTGCCTGTGGGGCACTCCTGGGGTCGGCCATGCAGCCTCAGCCCTGGTGCTGGACAAGGCTGGTATGGAGGGCTTGGCCGCAGTTCAAGGGTCCACGCTGCTCTGTCCTCTCCCAGATGCCCCTCAAATTTCCAGCTTCCAGGCTGAGAGGCCAACAGATGCCACGCCCGGCCCTGTTACTGGTGAATGCTGATCTGGGTGAACTGGGCCTCAGTTTCTCCTCAGGGAACAGAACAGAAGGAATGGCACAGAGATCGCCCACCCATGGCTGACCCAAACGCAGAAGGGGACCCTGCGGGGCCCTCCGCGTCCTGCACGAATGCTGGGGTTGAGGTTGTTTCCTACAGGGGCCTCGCTCTCCCTTGGTGACCTCTGGGGAAACCAAGACCCTTCACACGCAGCCAGTTAGCACCAGAGCAGGCATTCCAGTCTGCCTGCGGGAGCCTGGGCTGGGCACACACCCAGCACATGCCACAACTGTGTTCAGCACAGAGCTCCTGGGCATTTTTAATATCAGAGATGTGTTGGGAAGATGAACAAGATGCCAGGTGGAGGGTGCTAGGAACAGAAGAGATCCTGGCGTCTCATGGGGACAGAGCTGAGGTATGGCTGCACGGTGCTGGGCAGCCTCGTGCCAATTGGGCACTGAGAAGAGTTCCCCAGACACAGGACGTGGCCTGAGGGGTCCATGTTGTCTGAGTCCCACCTGCGGCCAGGCGCCCCTGGAACAGGGAAGTGGGCAGAAGTGTGGCAAGGACGCCAGTCAGAGGGGCTGCTATGAGCCAGGTGGGGGGTGACGGAGGCCTGGTATCCCCAGGAGACACAGAGCATGTGGGAAAGCAGCTCCTAAGAGTACTGGGGCTGCGGATTGGGGTGGGGAAGGGGGAGCCCACCAGACCCTGACAGCACTGTGGCGACAAAGGAGGGGCAGAGCACATCCCTGAGGGGCAGTGGGTGCTTCGGGCTTGTTTCTGGGATACAGCAGAAGCACCAGAGGCTCTCAGGGCAGGGGAGCTGCGAGGGGTGGAAGGAGGCTAGGCTGTCTCAGGGCAGGGGAGCTGCGGGGGGTGGAAGGAGACTGGGCTGTCTCAGGGCAGGGGAGCTGAGGGGATGGAAGGAGGGTGGGCTGTCTCAGGGCAGGGGATTTGCAGGGGTGGAAGGAGGCTAGGCTAGAGATGCAGCCTTCAGAGGTGCCTCCGGCTGAGCCGTGTTAGAAGCAGAAGTAACTTCTGTGTTACCTGGAAATCTAGGGGTGGTCCGAGGGAGTGATACCCGGGAAGGAAGGGAGGAGCAGCCGGGGACGGGACAGGCCAGGCTCTCCACCACTCCAGGGGAGACAGCCTCCTCGGGAAGGGTGTACAGAGAGGCTTCAGCGCCCGGGAAATGACAAGGCAGTGCCGCTTTTACTCTGAAGGGGGTGCTGCTCACTCTGCGAAGGGCACTGGAGGACTGAGATGCCTGGCCGGCCAAGGGTCTGCGGGAAGAGGGACGTGCTGCTTGCTGCTCACACCAAGACAAGACACACAAACACAAGGAAAGCCCACCCCAGAGGATGGACGAGGGAGGCTCACTGCAGCTTCCAGCCGGGAAAAACAAAGGTACAGGGCATTCGACTTCCCCAGCAGGAGATGCAAATGAAACGGTGAGAGGCCAGAGGCCAGCCAGAGCACAGGAGTGAGGTGACCAGGAGGGCAGGGACCTGGGGAAAACAGAAACCGAAGCAGGAACGGATGGTGGGGGGTGAGACGATGGGGCAGCAAAGACGTGGAGAAAACAGAAGCTGAGGCAGGAACATAAACGGACACCACGTGTTTCAGCAACTGTTCAGCAATGGTTAATTAAGGGCAGCAGGCACGCCCTCTAAGGGTCCATTCTAGGCGGTGACGTGACAGACTGCATCGGGTCTATACTGGGCCAACACGTGGCTATTCTTTGTTTCTTTCTGAGACAGGGTCTCATACTGTCGCCTAGGCTGGAAGGCAGTGGTGCAGTCACGGCTCACTGCAGCCTCAACCTCCCAGGCTCAAGTGATCCTCCCACCTTAGCATCCTGTGTAGCTGGGACTCCAGGTGGGCACCACACCTGGCTAATTTTTTGTATTTTTCGTAGAGACAGGGGTTTCATCATGTTACCCAGAATGGTCTTGAATTCCTAAGATCAAGCAATCTGCTTGCCTCAACCTCCCAAAGTGCTGGGATTGAGAGCCACCACATCTAGCCGGTGTGTTTTAACTAAGAAACATTCTGACTAGTAAGGGACAAATCATTAAACCATGAAGTAAACTATCAGAACGTTAAAACAGATCTACAAGTATAAAACTGTAAGACACAATGTTAAGACCAAAACAATGAAGTTGCAAAAACACTATTATACCATTTATGTAAACAATGAACACATAAAACCATCTATATTCTTAATTAACACGGTAAGAAATCAAAACCACACAGAAGAACAACGTTCACTAACTGGCATTCAGCACTGCAGTGACCCAGGCAGGGAGGGGCTGGGAGCAGGCGGGAAGGGGCTTTCGCTGTGTCCAGTAATTCTCACCTAGAAGGCAGCAGGCACGCACCCACAGCCAGCTGCAATGCAGATACAAACTGCTCTATCCCCAAGCAGAGGCTTCGTGTTCAAGCTTCCCCGACCCCCAGCAACCAGTGATGTTTTCTGTGACTGTAATTTTGCCTTACTTACTTACTTGAGAGTCTCGCTCTGTCACCCAGGCTGGAGTGCAGCGGCATATCTCAGCTTACTGCAACTTCTACTTCCCAGGTACAAGGGATTCCCCTGAGCCTCCCGTGTAGCTGGGATTATGGGCACCCGCCACTACGCCTGGCTAATTTTTGTATTTTTAGTAGCGATGGGGTTTCACCATGTTGCCGAGGCTGGTCTTGAACTCCTGACCTAAGGTGATCCACCTGCCTCGGCCTCCCAAAATGCTGGGATTACAGGTGGGAGCCAGTGTGCCTGGCCAATTTTGCCTTTTTTAGAATGTTGTATAAACAGAACTGCACCCTACAAAGATGGCGAGTCTAACTTCTGAGACTCACTTGTGTTGCTGGAAGTATCAGTAACACACTACGTTGGTTGCTATGGATGAACACACCTCAGTTTATGCATCTACTCACCAGCTGAAGAACTTGTACTGTTTTGTTTTGCACAATTATTAATAAAGCCACTATACATAAACATTTGCATGCAGGCATTTGTATAAATATGTTTTCATGACTTTTGGGTAAATGCCTTGGAGTGGTTTTGCCAGGTCATATTGTAAGGACATGTTTAACTTCACGAGAAACTACCAGACAATTTGCCGATTTCTCACCAGCAGTGCATGAGACCTGCACTTGCTCAGCTCCTCTGCTACTCAGTTTGGCACAGCTTAAAACAAAATCTGGCCAGGTGTGGTGGCTCATGCCTGTAATCCTGGCACTTTGGGAGGTTGAGGCAGGTGGATTGCCTGACGTCAGGAGTTTGAGACCAGCCTGGCCAACATGGCAAAACCCAATCTCTACTGAAAATACAAAAAATAGCCAGGTGTGGTAGTGGGTGCGTGTAATCCCAGCTACTCAGGAGGCTGAGGCAGGAGAATCACTTCATCCTGAGAGGTGGAGGTTGCGGTGAGCCGAGATCGTGCAACCAGCCTGAAGACAGGGCAAGAACCTGTCTCAAAAACACAAAAAAAGTTCTTTTCTGAATCACCCATTTACTATTGTGTCTAACAGCTCTCTGCATAACTCAAGATCAGAGAGACCCTGTTTCCTTCTCCAAGTTCTCAGGTTTTAGGTGCTACCTTTAGACCCAGGATCTATGTTAATTTTTACATCATGTGGAAAGTGGAGTGGAGTTTCTTTTTTGCATCCAGATGTCCAATCATCCTCATGCCACGCTTTAGACTCTCCTTTCTCCACTGAATTAATTGCCTTTGCACTTGGGTCAAACATGAATTGACTACATTTGTGTAGCTCTATTCTGGAACCCTAGGCAGAAAGATGGGGATTTCCCGAGTTTTTGCTGCCTATGCAAGAACCCCCACAGCACAGCCCTGCAGCTGAGGGTCAGCCTACAGGCAAGGCCATGCATGGGCGGAGGAAGTGAGAAACTCACCTGTGGAGGTCACTTCAAGTGTGATTCCCCTTTCCAACCAACCCACTGGCTTCGGCATACCTATTCTTTTAGTATTAGTTTTTATTTGCAATTGTTATAGTAGGAAAGAGCATGCAGGGGACTTACTCTGATAAAAATAAGATGAAAAGTAACATCTATTTAGGCACTAATAACGGGAAAGACATGTTCGTTATATTGTTTTCTAGACCATTTTTCTATATTTAATTTTTTCAATTAAAATTTATTTTTTTTTTAAAAAATCAGTAAATATTGACTATAGACAGAAAAATCCTCAACAAAATATTAACAAATGCAGTCCAGGAACATATAAAAAGGATTATTTACCATGACTAAGTGGGACTGATTCCAAAAATGCAAGGTTGGTTTAAAATCTGAAAATCAATTACTGTAATA